ACATTTGCACAGGCCCATTGGGCAGCTTCACTTCAGTCCACAGAGGAGCTGAAGCCTTCACCTCAGCGCTCTTTCTCAGCCACAGCAGGAAGGCGGGGCCCCAGAGGAAGCACACCTGCACCCAAGAAAGCAAGCCCTCCTGCTCCGCACCGCGGTCTCCGTGATGTCTGCGGGTCAGGGGTCTCTCTCCCGCTCTGAGGGCAGACAGATGAGGAGTGACGACTAATCTCTGCCAAACGACAGAACTCTACTAACGTAACAACGGGTCTGAAGCCCGTGAACAGCTTGCCCTTTCTGGACTGAAGACAGGATTTCCTCCTAAACCTTTTTATTATTCAAATGTCTTATCTCTTTTTGATTTTTTTGTTTGTTCCAGATTTGTTCCTTCAGGCTGGCTTGAAACACTGTTAAAATCACTTTCATAGAGCTGAAATTTTTTTACTCAGTCATTTTAAAAGGAAAGAAATGGTAAGGGAGAAAAAGAAGCCCAAGAGGATTTATTCTAAGCATTCAAGACTATATAAATAAAAGAAGGAAAAAGAAGTCAAATAAGGATGCTGCAATGACAGGAAGGGAGTACACACTGTAAAAGTGTAGACACGTGAGCAAAACAGAAATGTTTAGTAAGCTTTCAGAGATTCATGACTTGAAAGAAAGGTAGAGGGAAACAGGAGAGCATCCCAAACATCTATTAAGAAGGGGGAGTTTTTAGGACAAAATGGTCAAGAGAAGCCAAATGCTTAGGAATCAAGAAAAATGAGTCAGAAAACACTTCAGGGTGTAAAATCCATTTCCTTCAGTTGTTTAAAGGAGAGATATGCTTTAGAGAGATTAAAATCAAACAAGTAGGGACAGAAGACACCTTCTCTGGTACTAGTCATGCTGCTTCAGGAAGAGAACGCATCAGACAGAAAGACAACAGTAAGCTAGCTCTCCACAGTGTCTGAGTCATCTTAATTTTAATTAATGCTTTTGCGGGTTTGTATCACTTTACATTTTTAGTTGATTCCACATGGAAAGACCTTTTTTGTTCCCCCAGTAAAGAATCATGGCAAGTTTCTTAAACAGGAAGAAAAAAATGCATTGAGAGCAGCTAAAATAAAATTACATTGCTCTAAACATTCCTTTAAAAAAAATTTGGTCTAGGACTTTTATTAAAGCCCAAGAGATTTATTAACATGAATAAAATGCATCAAACCTGGCAGAATTCCAAATTTCTTTTACTTTCTGAATAACTGTGGAAGTTTGTAATGCATGGAAACAGTTTCTAAGAATTTTAAGACCTAATCCTCTGAGGCTACAGAACCCAATATAACCACTAACTTAGTGCTAATAGGACTGAATCAGCTATTCAGCTTTTTATAAGTGAAAACGGCAAGCTAAGAGTTAATGCGACTGGTCTTTGTGGATAAGCCCACTGAGGTGCTGGTGGAAGACCAGTGTTTGAAGAGGGCCTACACTCACATGCCTGAGGCATTACACCTGCCAGGGAGGAAGAAATGCAGAAACATTTCCACATGTTTCTAATTTGGTGGGAGAAAAAAACAGCTAAAACAACTTTACAAAATATACAATTTCAGTAGTGATCTCAGGTCTCCTGCTGCCTAGATGTTTGGACACATTTTCATTGTTGAGAAGATATACTTGGGCTGTTCCAAATAAGTCACTCTTTAGAAGGCCAAACAGCTCAAAATTGGGAGGAAATACACATAGATCAAATACTAAGAAGAAAGAAAAGAAGAAAGGAGTAACTGAAATCTTGAACTGTATTATTTTAGATGAGATTTTGTTTGCTCAAAAAGACTCTATGAGTGAGCTTGTAAGGAAAAAGTACATCCATCTATCCATCCATCCATCTACCTACCTACCAGCAAATCCAGCTTGGGGACAATCATTCCAGGCTCTCAATACCCTTCCCTCAGGAATCTGGGGGAGGGGAGCTGTCCAGTGGTGTCAGCCGACTCTTACGTGGGCTTCTGTTTCCCTTCTAAGCCCTCTAAAATGCTGACCACCAAGGGCATGGACCCCTAGTGACAAGCAGGAGGCACAAGGGCATCAAAAATTAAAACACTTAAAAATGATGTCCTAAACAAAGCAGAATAGGTGTTGTTCAAGTTAAGGAAATCCCATTAAAAACATATAAGGTTAGAAAATAGGTTGATTTGTGCACATCCCTGGTCCGTGTGGCTTAGCAGAGGTGCAACTCTGAAACAAGCTCTAGCCTCAGAGTTCAATTGTCAAAACACAGCATCACTTTTATGGCTTATAACTGTCCCCCATGTGTGATAAAAGTTTAATTAATGAAATTCAACTAACAAGAACTTAGCTGTTCACTTTATTTCTTTGAAAGAAAAGGGAGGAGGGAAGGGAAAGTGGGAGGAGAGAGAAAAAGAAACAGGGAGAGAAGGATGGGGAACAGGGAGATAAATGGGGGGAGGAAAGAAAACCTGGACTTCCCCCCAAAACTCAACTTTCAGGCAATGGTCTTGGTAACATTTAGTGTAACCAATGCCACTTACCACATCTACACCTTCTTTCAAGTTGACATTCCTTCACCCCAAGATATTGTAAGTTCCTAAATAAGGAATATTATGCCTCACATGATTTACTAAAAAAGAAAGCAAACTTAAACTCTTAGATTACATCTAACCATTTCAATCCCTGGCTATAGCAGTTAACTGAAAATCAAGTGATATAAAAGGGCAGACAAAGCAGACATCCAACAAAGACAGAATCTGCTTTAAAATCTCACTGAAAAGTGACTACTAGAAACATCATTGTACTGAATTTATCTTTGATTCCAATAAAGCAAAAAGTGGGTATGAAAAATGAACAGACTATCTTCTCCTGCCTCTGCTTCCAGCCCTACTTCTATTTTGAGATTTTTAAACTTATTTTTATCAATAAAGGCAACAAGTCTAGTCTAATAAGTATAACTGGATATTCTCCTATTTGCCAGATTCTCTAGAGTAAAAGCAAGATGAGCCAGCAAGTTGGTTCTCAGGAACTAAGCTAAAGCCAAATTCAGATTTTATACATTTTTTTGATTCCCAAGGGTCATAATGCATTAAATATCTTTTTACTGCAGGTCCATGAAAGAAATACTACACTGGATGTATCTGAAGTGCAAGAAGTTAAACTTCTCTCCTCCAAATTGACTCATTCATTTAATATACAGTATAAGGCACTATGTGAACGAAATTCTGGAAGGGGGGCATTAAATAAACGACATAAGAAATTCAAAGTCCTTTCAGAAAACATTTAGGTCCAAAGCCTTCATTTTACAGATGCAGATCTAAGACACCAGACTAGCTAGTGTCCCTGATTACTCTCTATCTCATCACCCAGTTTACTTTCCTCACAGCACTCACCACTATCCGAACTTACACGTATTTACGTACATATGTGTGTGTTTTCTGGTTCCTCTTACTAGAATATAAGCATCTTGAAAGTAGGCATCTTTACTTTTCATTCATTGCCCTACTCTCAACTCTTGGGAAGATGTCTAGCACACATTAGGTACTCAATCAATATTTGTTAAATGAATAAAGAAGAAAACCATAGAAAATTGAGGAAACCATATTGAGATATCACACTGAGACTTGTGAGAGCCTACCACCAGGGTGAGCTCCACTCCAGAAAAAGGTAACTTTTGAGTTGAAGGTATGAAGTACTGGAACCCAACTACCAAGGAAAAGGTGAGTTGGTAAGATGTAAACATTTCTTTGAACAGAAGATAACATATTAACCTATTCAGGCATACTGGATATAAAAGCAGACAACTGTCACAAAAACAAATATTCATTTCTTCCCAAATCAGTGTCTGAGAACACCTTCAATTCATACCATGTATTAGAATACTAACTAAAAACTCTTCATCCAAGCTAGAATTAACTTGTTACATACCTATTATTATTATTATGAAATCTCGGCGATGTTAAAAAAAAATTCAGCAGCATGCATCTTAAGTTACCAATGAAGGATGACTTTTATAAACTCTATCTTAAGTTTTAATGAGTAAATATAAATACTAATGTTGACTTTAACAAAAAGAGTTTATTTACCTCAGGTTGTTTAGTAGCAAACATTAGGAATAAGTGTTAAATCTAAGCGCTACTGGTGAACGTTGGTCTAGAACAATGGAAAACCAGTATCATTAACCATCTTCCCTCTGCCTTTCCTCTTCATCTTCAGAAATCAGCAATTTATTATAAGCAAAATTAAGTGGAGCTATTAAAGAACCATAAAAAGCAAGATTCTTAGAACCACACGTTTAAAAAAGTTTTTTTACCCTAATGATGTCCATTCATTTATTCAACAAATATTTACTCAGCACCTATTACAGTATCCCAGGCTCCTTGCTAGGGGTTAGAAGTTATCAGAAATACTTATATTTGAAGAGATTAAAAACTGAAAAAGATCTCCTGGACTTCCAGTAAATGTGAGATATTACAAAATTTTTCAAAAAGATGTTTCAACTTACATTTTGTTCCTCTGGTTCTAATTTGGGGATTTTGTGTGACTTGCGCTCCTCAGATCTAGATGAGTCATGCTTGTTGCTTTTTTTCCTCTTTTCTTTTCTGCTTTCATGCTTTGACTTTGTGTGCTCACTTGCCTGGACTTCATTTAAAAGGTCTCCACAAAGGGAGGACTCAAACAATTCCCTGCCATTCTGGATAGTTTTGGTTATTTTTAGTTTAATTTCAGGTGAGCCAGTCTTCTTTGGAATCACAGTTTGTGGTACCGAGGGAGGAGGTGGTGGCTGTGGAGGAGAAGGTTTTTCCAGAATTTCATGTGGTCTTGTGTTTGGAATTTCTGAATGGTAATAGTCAGTGGGGCTAAAGTTTCTAACTGCACCAAAGCCGTTGGCTGACCCGTTGGGATACTGATTATATGACTGGTATTTCGTTTGAGTTTCATACATGCTGATTGATGGTGGGTAGCCATTGGTGAGGGGAGGAAGATCTTCTGTTGTAGGTGGGTACTGAAAGCCTTGCTGCAAGGTAGCTTCATATGGTGTCTGGCCACCATCTTCAACAATGTCACTGTTGTTGTCAAAGGCATCCTCCTGACGGATGTTGGCGGAGTCAATGAGTTGAGGTGGTTGCTGAATTGTGTTTCCCATGATCCCTTGCATGAAAGAGAAAGAGAAATCCATTGTTCTGCTCCAGCATCCTTAACTTTCCCTTTCTCTCATCGGGCCTAAAGTTTTAAAAGAGATTAAAAGGTGTTAGTTAATATCCTCAAAGGCTAGAGGCTAATCAATTGCAAAAGTCTGAATTCAATTTTCATATCCAGATATGCACAAATGCTAAATATTTTTAAAGTAGGTAGTCAATATAATTCTGACACAGGGTAAACACTTTTTTTTTAAATTGAAGTATAGTCAGTTTATGATGTGTCAATTTCTGGTGTACAGCATAACAACAGTTCAGTCATACATATATACATACATATATTCGTTTTCATATTTTTTTTCATTATAGGTTGCTATTTTTATCTTAAATGCTTATCTGTTTAAAACTCACTTTCACAATAATTTTAGTAACAACATTTTGTCCACTTTGCAGACACGCAAAATAGCTTTGACATTCCTTTTTGTTTCCCAAGTTAGAGATTATATAAGTCTCAGGTTAAAACTGGTAATTGCAAAATAAGCAGTGTCCTGAGATAAATTAGGTTCCCTATGTGCTTCCCTTAAATCATTCATGTTTTGTCCAGTGGTTCTGTTACTACGAAAATAATAACATCTTATTACAAGTATTTTTAAATACAAAAGTAAAAAGGCCAAACCTTCTGCCATACCATCATTCCCAGTCTTCTGTGTCATGGATAACCTCTGTAAACACTTTAGTGGGTATTCTTCTAAATCTTTCTCTATATATTTACACATAAAATATTTAAAATAGAGTTTACTCTGTGACTTGCTTATTCAGCTTAAAAATACAACATAGATAGCTTTCTACATCAGCATGTATAGATCATTTCCATACATACTTCATATTGCACAGTAAAAACCTGTAGACTCTACCATATTTAACCATTTGTGTACTGACAGTCATTTAGTTGCTCACAACTGTTTGATATTATAAGTAGGTCTATAGGAAATTTTCTTGACACTGTATCTTTATGCACATATGTATCCCTATATGAAAGATTTGAAATTAGCTACTGCAAAACTGTTCTGTGGGCTGTACTATATAAATTTACACTCATACCAGTAGTGAGCAGGGATGCCTGATTCCCTACACTCTTGCCAGTATCTAGTTGTTTTTAACCAGTGGTATAGATGGCAAAATCATCTTTAGTTTTACAAAAAAAAAAAAAAGACACGTCAAGACCTATATACTGGTGACTCTGATTCAATAAATCTGGGGTGAGGCCTAGAGCATGAGTATTTCAGGACCACATCCCAGCTGACACTGATGCACACTCTTGGTTGGGTCACTGCATTATACTCTAACAATTCCTGCACCTCCTCGAGATGTCTGAAGATGCCCACATTGTATAACAATGTTAAAATTTAAATAAGCATGTATTAGGAAATGCTCTAAGAGCACTCTGCTTTGCCACAAGGTTTGACAGGTCTACATCTTGGGACAAAAGATTAATGGACAGTCCAGATATTATTTTGAAAATCCTATAACCATTTCTTCTAAAAAGCTCTAAGGCAAAGAGGATTTCACTACTGTATCAAGTCTGAGGGTCTGACTGTAGCTGCAGGAATACTGGGAAGAGGATTCTGACGCTACAGCCCAGTTCAATTCTATGATCAATTAATAATGTCCACCATCTTGGTTCTAGTAGGATTTGCCATCATGATAAAGCAAGTAACCCAAAACAACAAAGGGAAGGAAATGAAAGTTAATGATACACTTTTCAAGGTGAATCCAATTAAACAGCTGTTGTTTATTCTGCTGTTAGCAAATGGAAACAATTTTAGAAGTTCTAAAACTGCAAATCAGTGAGTACGAGCACGTATAGGAAATCAAACTGCTCTTACTGCTCCACAGCGGAGTGGGGGCAGGGCCAGGGGGCGTCCCGGAGCATGCCTGTTTTTTCAGCATCTACCCTGGGCCAAGCACTTTATATATATCTCATTTAATCCTCATGAAAACTCTGTAAGACAGGTACTGTGACTCCTGGCTCACAGGTAAACAAACAGCTTCAGAGGGTCAGGTGGCTTGCCTAAACCACAATGCCAAGCAGGCAGAATTAGGATTTGAACGTAAGCACGTCTGACTCTAAAGCCCAAGATTTTCGCCCCTGTGCCGCTTCCACCTTCCTCAGCTGTAACTTCTCAGAGGATGTGTTTCTTCTGTTCACTTACTTTATTCCTTGGCCACTGTCAAAACAGCAACTAACTATTCTATAATGACCACCGCTAACACTTAAAGAGCGCTCAGTACATGCCAGCAGCCATTCTGAGTGCTCTACGTGCAGTCCTACATTCACTCTCCCAACAGCCTTCAACTAGACATTAATATTAGTCCCATGATGGATGAGGAAACAGAGGTAAGAGAGGTTATGACTTGCTCAAGTGCGCAAGGCCAGTCATTAGCCGAAGGAGCTGGGATTCGAGCCAGGCAGTCTGGTTTCACAGTCTGCGATCCTAACCAGCATACCGAACTGATAAAGCTGACACAGGTTAGAAATCACTTCTTCACATACAGCTTAAGAATCGAGACATCACCCTAATATGACCCTTGGCAAAAATGTATAGCTCACAGACACTAGAAAGGTGTATTCTAAAATTCTGTAAACACACACGGGACAACTATACAGGTGGAATTTAAAAGTTTTTCAAACTTCCAACTTGAAGCAAGTTAAACACCGACATTTCACAAGATGCAACCTGTGTTTTTGGTTCTCACAACTGTCATACACAAGATTATCTTCTAGATAGTCTCCCAAATTATAGTCTACAGTGGTTTTCAGGCATATGTATTTAGAGACTAAGATTTCTGATGTTTTTGATTTAGTTCCAAACACAAACTTCCTAGACGTTGGATATTTTCACCCTCTCTTCCTTCCTCTAGCCCTAGAACCAAATATTTCATTTTAGTTTGAAGAAATAGCATTACCATATTACAATTATCATATAGGGGTTTACAATTACACAGTGTTTTATATGCATTCTGTTTTGGGGAGGTTTGGGGAAGAAGGTAATTAGGTTCGTTAATTAATTAATCAATTTTTACAGAGGGACTGGGGATTGAACCTAGGGCCTTGTGCATGCTAAGCACACTCTAGCACTGAGCTATCCCTCCCTGCCATATGCATTCTTACTTGATCCTCAAAACAATCCTGTAAGGCTAATGGGGCAAGTGTCAGCTTCATTTTTCAGATAACTACATTGAATATTTGAGTTGCTGAATTTCCCAAGACTACAAAGCTAATTAGTGAGTAAGCCTGAAAAAGAATCAATCTCTTAGCTTCTTATCCTGTGCTCCTTCCCACAATATCTCACTGCCAGAGAGCATTCAACTACCCCAAGATAACACACTATCACCTTAGGTGTCACATGCTCAAAACTGGACAGACTGTCCTTTCCCTAGCTCAGCTTCCAGACTACCCCAGACTAGTCACTGCTCCCACTGTTTGTCTAGCTTCCCAGGCTAGAAGCCCCAGGTTCCTAGGTGACGGCTTCTTCCCCCTCTGGTAAGCCATAAAATGAATCACCGGACAAAGCCGGTAGTGTCTTCCTTTGAAATCTGACTTCTTGATCTCTACATCATGTCAGGCCAGGCTCTTGTCAGCACCTTATCCTGGAACTGCAACAACTGATTTCCTAGATATTTCTCACCTCTGACTTCTTCCTGCACAGCAGTTAGAGGATGCGTCCCGAAACCAAACTTCAATAAATCTATTCCTAAGACACTAAAACTCCATAGTCTATCAAGTCCCCTCCATGCCTTTCAAACTTTTCCATAACCTGATTTTTCCCACAAACCCAAGATGCATGTGCTTCAGTGAACTTTTCTGACCATCTACTGGGCCAGCTATCTATAAACCATGGCTTCACTCATATATTACACTTCGTTTAATCTTGTGAAGCAAAGCATTAGTCCCATTTTACAGATGAGAAGGAATGGAGAGCAAAAAGATCAAGTGATTCGCCCTTAGCCACGTGGCCAAGAGAAGCTGAATAAGACAGTGGAATAAGATCTCCTGACTCCACCACTTGGTACACGGCAGCTACCTCATGATCTGCAAACTATCCAAACTCCCCATTTTTTTCCAATATGCTCCATGCTCATAATCCAAATTTCTGTTTGACAGCTTCTCTCATAACTCACAAGCATCTTAAATACCTAATAAAGAACTCTTAGTTTTAATTTTACTTAAAATGTGTCCTTCCCCCAGTCTTCCCTACGAGAAAAAAGATCAAACCTCCATCTATCAGCTGCTCAAGCCAGAAGCCTGGGAATCACGACACATCCCTTCCCTCACTCCTACCTGCGTCCAGTCAGTGAACTCCCTGAGTTTTACCTCCAAAGGGCATGTCTCACATCTGTCTCTCATTCCATCTCTCCTGCTCTTCACACTAGTCCAAGCTCCTCACCTGGTCTACTCCACAGCCACCTCCCCAGTCTCCATGCTGGTCCTGCCTCTAAAATCTATTTCCCCATAAAACAGTCAGTCACCTTTTAAAACTTATCCAATCATGTGACTACCGCTCAAAATACGGCAGGGAAATGAACATCATGGATGACTCTCACGAATGTCATTTTGAATTAACTAAGCCAGACACAATAATTCCACTTACATAGTGCACGGTGCGATTTCATTTACATAAGGTTCAGAAACAGGATAAAGTTAAAACTAAATGTGTAGTTAGCTGCCAGAAGAGTGGCTGCTTTTTTTGAAGAGGGTGCTGTAAACACGACAGGGGGACTGTAGGGATTTTTCTGAGCTACTAGTTACATTTAATTTATTGATCTAGATGGTAAATATATGATTTACTAAAATAAGCAAAAATAAAGAAAAAAACCTTCAATGCCTTCCCAGAGTATCTAGATAAAATCCAGGCTCCGCACCACTGCAGCAAGCCCCTGCACGGTCAGGCCTCGGTTTACCTTTCCAAAGTCATCTCCCAGCACTCCCCGCTGCAAGCACTGCATTCCAGCCTCAAGGACTTCTTCTCAGTTTCTCAAATGTGCCAATAAGGGTTTTCGCATGTGCTGCCCCAGCTGCCTGAA